TCACGCTACCTCGTATCTCGCTGAAGTTACTTGTAAAATTAACTTTATAGAATAATAAAAAGAATTAACCTTAGAGCCTGACAAATTCGTACCACTCTCTTTGTTTCTTTGTTTTGCAAAGAAAAGAGATCATAAAAAAGGATTTGAACGACACACGTAAATATGGGATTAGGAAATCTCCCCCTACGAAATGCGAAATAGTTCATACTCGACTTTCTCTATGCAATGATTTATACGTACAGCTGAAGAACACCCGGCTAGGAACGAATCTTCTTGGAGGAAGGGGAGGTGAAAAGATACCCTTTTGTATATTTTCAGTTTTCCGTTTTGTTTATTTTTTTCTATTTTTTTAAAGTTATCTCGTTTGTTTTCTTCTTTTGTGCCTTCAGTTTTTCTCTTTCTTTTGACTGATTTCGACTAAAAGATAAAAAAAATATTTGTCCCTCTTTGTATTCTATTTTCCCTTTGACTATGATGATTCCTGTGTTCAACAGAAAGAAGATAGATGATAAATTGCTGTTTATTTATTACATTTTATCTCGCTCTATCATGGACAGGAAAATTTCATCTCGTTTCTACATACCTTACTGTCCATTCTTGTTTCTCCCTAATCTCAGCTATGACGAAACTGAACACAATACATAAAATAATGGAAAATGTCCCACTCTTTCTGTTCATCTATCTATCTATCTAGCTAGCTAGCTCTTCTGATATTAAAAATGCTCTTTAACATTAATTGGTGTTAAAATGAGACATTAAATGAGAGGCCTTTCGTTCTTTCTCAACACCTCAACAAATCAATCTCGGTCTGTCTCCATCTTTTCTGGTGGTGAAACAATGAGATCTCATCTGAAGTGCCAAGGAAAACTACGTTCATATCCTCTCTTTCTATTTCTCTCTCTCTCTCTCTCTCTCTCTCTCTCTCTCTCTCTCAGTTGTTCTGTCTTTCACTTTAAGACATTGATGAGAATGGTAACGTATCTCGGTTACATGACTGATGCAATGAAAATACACCCCTCTTTAGTGTTCATCATCCCATCGTCTCAGTTAAATGATGATATCTTTATTTATTAATCAAATCAGTTTTTAATTTCTTTTTCTTTTCTATATGTTTCTTAATTTATTTCCTTTATTCTTTCTGGCTTTCTTTGATTTTTAGCGTTTTTGTCCGTTCTTACTTTTCCGTTTTACCTTTTATTGGTTTTCCTTCCCTTTTCGTATTTCCTTTCTTCCTCTTGAGAGTTGTGCAATACATTTTTCATTTTCTTGGTTATTCCATTTTCTTTTATTTCATTTTCCCTTTCAAACATGTTCAATCTCTTTGCTTCTGGCACTAAGCGTAGATCTGGTCAACGTTTTCTCTATTATGTTCCAATTTTTATCTATCTATCTATCTATCTATCTATCTTTTGGATATTTTTAGTATCACTTTATTTTCAATATTTTATTATTTTTATATGCAGAGTGGAGGCCCATGTAGCGTCCTTTTTCTTTTCTTTCTATTACCTTTCTCCCTGGGTGGGACAGACTACTTGTATCGGGTGTATATATTAGTGAGTATTTCATCTTTATTCCCTTGCCTCTCTTTTTATATATTTTTGTGTTTTTTGACTCGCCATAAGGACACTTCGTAAAGTCGCTTGTATAATCAAAAAATAAACTGTTGCCTTTCAAGTGTTTATAGCTGTACAACGGCAAGAAAAACAGGGACAAAACACACTCTTTCATGCCAACAAACGCATACGCACGAAGACGCATAAGCACATATGCATGTAAGTTCATAAACAAAAAACTATATACAGTGAAACACACACACACGTCTGTCTAATTATCTATCTATACAATATGATATTTGGCGTCGAATAAATGCTCGTAAACTATTTCATAAACGCTTTATTCAGTACAATTGCATAAAGACATTACAATTTATAAAAACAAAATTATCGATACGCCAGAAAATTATTCTGATTATTTATGGAATTCATAAAATATATAATATTCATAACGTTTTATGACGAAGCTGTATCTGTGAGTTATTCATTGATTTAAAACAACTAATTTTGAAACTATGTAATTCAGGAATGAGATTTGATTTCAGTAGTCAAGCTGACTATATCATGGAAAATATCTTTATGCAAAAAACATTGCAATTCATTATGAAAGGGGGCGTAAGACTAAACTCTATCTATAATTGTCTGTGTATGCAAGAAGATCCCTAAATTTGTTCTGAAAGATATTGTTTCTAATTTGTCAAAAAATGGAGTAAATGTATCACATCGTACGATAATTAGGGTGCTCCATAAACAAGTTCTCAGTAGCTGCCGTCTAAGAAAAACAATTTTGCTCAGAAGTCATCAGCGCAAATCTCGATTGGAATTTACACGTGCATACTTGGAAATGGATAGTAATTTTTGGAACACAGTTTTATAGAATGATGAGATTAAAAATGAACTGTCTGGTTGGAATTCATTCCAAAGGTGATGGAAATTTATAACGTATATACTGAAAGATGACATTCAACGCGTCTTTCTATATAATTCCTGTGTGGATTGTGAATCTTAGATGTTCTTACGTTAAATGTGAAAATGGAGGAAAATACATTTTCGTAAATTGATACTTTTTTTTATTTCCGGAAAGGAAAATCGCTGTACAAACAGCCAAAAAATGATATGCGCCGAGTAAAGTGTTATAAGGGGAAGTTTTGATCAAGAAAAGGTGAACGTTCCTGCAGGTCTGCAATCGCTGATGATGAGCACATCGAAGCGTTAATTAAAAATAATTCAGGTCGCACTACACATGATTTCAAAGAGAATATCCACGTATCTCATGTTAAAATTGAAAAGACCTGAATACGTGAATCTCTACAATGTTTGGGTGCCTAAAGACTTAAAAGGGAAATAATTAATGGACTGCATTTCTATCCTCGATTCTCTACTCTAACACAACAAAATCGAGCCATTTTTTAAAAGAGCAATCGCAGGCAATGAAAAATAAATTGTTTACAACAATGTGAAACGAAAGATCTCATGGAAAACCACTTAAAAGCCGGATTGCGTTTGAAGCCAGTCTGCATTTGAAGCTGGTGCTATGTATCTGGTGAGACTGGAGGGGTATTATGTATAGAACTTTTTCCGCAAAATCAGAACTTCAGTTCAGACAAGTACTGTACCAAAATGGACTGATTAAAGGCAGCAATCGATGAAAATTGGCCAAGCGAAAAAAGGTCTTCCATTACAACAACACCAAACCTCACGTTTCTTTGTAGAGCCGCAGAACTTGGTGCAGTTTGGTTGGGATGTTGTATTACACCGGCCAGACTCAACTTCTGATTACCACTTATTTCGATTTCTACGAAATTCTCTCTAATGAGAAGAACTTCAATTCTCTGGAAATCTTTAAGAACTACTTAGATAAGTTCCTCACCCAGAAAGATGTCAAGTTTTTGTAGGATGAAATTATGAAGCTACCTCAAAGATAGCGAAAGATAGTGGATAAAAACGGCACATATGTGATTGAATACATCTATGTACAAATATTTCAATATCATCTTTGAAATCCATTTAAAAAACCCACGAACTTTGGTTTCGACATAAAATGTGTGTTCTCGTCGTAAAATATTGAAAAATGAGGGCTTTTATGCGTGTGTGTGCGTGTGTGTGCGTGTGCGTGTGTACTGAATCCGTCATACCTAAAGATCATATCATGATTTTCGTCCATCATTTAAAATCGAAATACAAAATTAAATCTTGAACACGTACATGTTATGAACATTTAACTACATTTTTTAAAAATATTTGTAATATACTTGATTTTATTATTTTTAAAATTTTTATTTGCATTTTCAGATAATTTTATTCCGAGGAGGCTGTGAATCAAGAAATGTATTTATTCTATGTGAGAAGTATTTGATGGCGCATATATCGAGACCATTTACTTTCACTTCACAATAAGGAATGGCATAGATCCACTTTTACACATAGTTATGGGTAAATAACAGGGTAGTTAGAGCCCTTTAGCCATATATGAAGCTGTCCTACTAAGATAACATTACTTTAAAAGATGAATAGAAAAACAGAAATCTAAAATATGGGTAAACGTGAGACAAGCAATTCCATCAGGTACTGAAACCGCTGATGCTACCGCTTGCTCCCCAAAGAGTTTACACTATACAAATGATAAATGATATTGAAGAACTATTGGTATATAAGACCCTCTTCTATTTCTGTAGAGAATATTAAGAAAACCATTTTGTATGATACATTGATTATTACAAGAACCTCCATATATATTCCCTGCTTGGCCCACTTCAAAAATATTTTTCTTAAGTGCATTTATTACAATTTTATGATATTCTATGTCATCAAAGATGATGCTACTGATTTATACTTCAGCGAAGCCCAACAAATATTGAAAATTTAAACAGTAAAAGTTCAACACAGAAAACTATTAACGTTTATTCGGAAATTATTACATTCGTTAGGTTTAAATATTTATTTGTCTCTTCCCATGGCTTTGTTTTAAAAGATCCAGTCTGCAACAGGTTGTCGCTTCAGCTAAAAGTCGGCCTTCTTTTAGAAACGAGTTAAACTGATTAGTAAAAGCATTACACTTACTAGCAGAAAAATGTCAACGTTCTATAACATTTGTTATGAAAACATAGACTTATACACTGTTTAGACTCCCCAGTAAAATTAAAGAAATAAAATAGATGTTTCTTCAGAGAGATAATCATTGACTGAAGTAAATGCTATTATAGTGAGCTAAATAACTAGAGATTGATAATGAACACATACACACAGAAAGAGGGATCATATAGATACAAAGTGAATTAACTACACAGGCAGAGAGGTAGATGAAGGCGCTAAGATAGATGCGAAAAGATTATACACTGACAAAAAACTGATGCTGATAAAGACGTAGAAGGCATACATGTGTGATTTGTTTTCGTTCAGTGTTTGTTGTTAGCTAATCTAAATTCACCTAATTTTCTTGTTTTTCAGGGAAGATTGCACAGCTGTGGAGGTTGTTTTTTGCTACAAAGAGTGGGGAATCACACAAGCAGACAAGAAAAGTAACAAGTTCTTAAAAAGCAGAGCCCACTTCCGTTTACCGGTCTGTCATGATTTACCTAGTCGAAGGAGCACCATTCCCAAATGTTCTCCAGCTGCACTGTTTGACAGAAAACCCGAAGAAGTTACCAGTACGTATATTTTAGGACATCATTTTGTGATTCAAATTTTCCTTTTTTGATCATAGAGAAATAGCTGAAAGATAGAATGAAACTAAAAAGGTCGTGGTCATCGGAAACGAAGGGAAAATATTTGATGTCTGAATGATGATATGAGTTTATTCGAATAAAATTTACCTAATCATTTTTTTTTATTTATAAGCGCTATTTTTTTACCGTTGTATGGGGAGGTACTAAAAAGTTATTGACTTGAGTCACTTCTCTAAATCAGGCCAAATAACCAAATTATTAGTCAAGTACAGAACGCTATGTCTACGGGCAGATATTTATGGCTTTGTCTGATGCATGGCCACAAGAAAGAAATACCTCTGTGATTTACGGTACTGCAAAAGCCTCACTGCATCGAGTAGGCCAGGCGATGAAAACCCTCTTGTTCTGCAAACTGGTTTCTGAGTAGCCAAGCAGAAGGACGCCACAAAAGAAATACTGAGGCTCACGTAAAAGAACCTCAGCACTTCATCTGTCTATCATAAACACTACCTACAAGTTGGGGTACAGTGCATAGTCATATAATCGGAGTTCCTATCGGTTGCTGACCCTTCTCTTACATGCTATATGGAAAAATAGTCACACTGAAGATGCGGGAACGCTGATATATATACAGTGGGGGAAAACAAATATTCGTACACATACAAATCTTTAAATTATTGTATTTCCATCTAATGAATAAACATACTTTTCATATAATTAACTGTACACAGATGAATAATAACTAAATATGCATAGAAAACAGAAAAGTTTGATTTAATAGAAATAAATCCCATTTATCCATTTTACTGGGTGAAAAAAGGTATTCATCCAATGCAAATTTCAGATTTAAAACTTTTAAATTGCTTTAATACTCTAGATTATTCAAGTGGAATATTCTAGAATGTTCCAATAATGTTATCAGTAGTTATGTCTAGCCTAAAATACAAACAGAACATTCTGTAATTGATATTCGTGCAAGAATGTTATCATCATGTCAAGAGGTAAAGAACTGACAAATTCGCAAAAAGAACTGATTGTTAAGCTCTGGAAAAAAGGTAAAAGTTACAGGAAAATCTCAGAGAACCTGAATATTCCATTTGCTACCATTGGCTTATTCATTGCAAGGCATAAAAACTCAAAACTATTGAAAACCAAAGAAGAGTAGGTGCTCCACGGAAGATTTCTTCGAGGAAATTAATGTGTCAAATTAAACAAAATCCAATGGTTACTCGTCAGAAATTGCAGAATGATTTGCTATCATCAGAAATCTGTCACTAAACAGGAAATAAGCAATGAAATTCATAGAAACAATCTAAAGTCACCCTCCCCTCATAAAACTTCACTGCTATTCAAAAGACAGAGAGATGACAGGTTGAAATTCGTTCGTGGATAAGGAAAAATCGTATTGGGAAAGAGTATTATGGACAGACGAAACCAAAATAATCGACAACTCATACATCCAGTTAAAAAGCAAAAATAAAATCATCCTTGATAATGGCTAAAAGTATAGCCGAAAGCGCTCGGAATTAACGAATATTTGAACAGTTTCTACACACTCTGTATCCAGAAAAGAAAACACTTGTTCGAACAAAAGAGAAATTAAAGAAACTTTTTATATATATATATATATATATATATATATATATATATATATATATATATATATATATATATATATAATATAAAAAGGCTCAAACACTAATATTCCATGGTTATAATTTATTATATTGGAATCGTAATCAAGATCCAATTCATCAGACCTAAAAATAAAACTCCGGGTATAAAAAGCAAAATTTTAGTGAGAGTGTATTTGTGGGAGTGGGAAACAAGTGTGAGAGGGAAATGTATGAAAGCTCTAGTGAGAGGGGTAACAGAAGAAAGAAGAACAGGAAGGCCTAAAGGTGAAGGTGGGGATTAAAATTTAACAGAGAGAAGTTTTAAAGAGAGGAGTTAAATAACGGTTTAAAAGAGTGAGATACAGATAAATATGAATTATTTTTCGATGCATAATTCGCTTCCGATTCGCTGACCTAAAATTAAAATTAAAAACAGACATATATATATATATAATTTCTTCGACAAATTTGTAAATATTTATGAAGGTTTCTAGGTGTGGGGCAAGATTGCAATACTGGGAGAATTAATTGAGAATCAAACTCATTTCTCATATCTGTAATCAACGTGACTATCTTGTTAATAATGACTTCAATGCTGTTACAGGACCACATCAGAGCGTAAAGACCTCCCAAATATCGAAGTAGATAGAACCAAATATCCAGCTAGATTTATAACTCTTGCTCTATGGCAGGGGCCTTGTTTTATAAATTTGCCTAATTTCGAGAGAAATCGATGAATGTTAGTGAGTTCGAATTCCTTTCACAACGATTTATTTTCACGGTAATAACATTTGGAAGGACATTAGCTCAGCCTCAGACTATTCACCACGCATTTTCAGATTTACTTTGTGGGTGAAGTACAACGACGTTATATTAGGGAAAAAACTAGTGTTTTTAGATCTGAACAATAAAAATTACAACTGAAAATTATACATCAGATGAATATTTATTTTATACTTACGATTTGTTTGTATTTTAAGATTTTTGAAAATCTGAATTACAAACGGAATATTTAGTGAAGACTGAGTCCAATATTAGTCTTTCTTTACTATCGTTTGTAGGTTTTTTTCTAATTGTGCATTGTTTCCTCGAGCTATAAACCTGAACCCTACCTCTTTATTTAATTATCTATGTCAATAATGACACAGGAGAGTGCAACATGAATTACATCTGTGATAATGCCTTTCTTATACACGTTCAAATGTATGCAAATAGATTCATCTATATGGTGACTTACAAACATACCTCAATATATACGCAGATGCATTACACCTTTCTGTATTATTATGTTGAGATTTGCCTTAAACTCTATCGAGCATGGAAAATCGGAAAATTTAATATTTACCTCCCTAGGTTCTTCACATTTAATTCTAAAACTTTGTTTCTCATTCGCTCCACACATGCCTATTCAGTCTAATAGTTATTTATTTTTTCTTTTGTGTCGGTCATTCATTTATTTATTTTTATTTTTCTTCTGCCGTATGATGTTTCATAATTTTATTTCGGTTAATTACATTTATACTTACTTACTTTCTTTCTTTCTTTCTTTCTTTCTTTCTTTCTTTCTTGTTCGCCTAGTTAGGGTTCCTTACTTTCTTTTCTGGACTTTGTTGTTGTTCTTCTTTCAGTTATTTTCCTCTTTATTTAGCTCTTTTCGCCTCTGCTTCTTTTCCTCTCTCTCTCTCTCTCTCTCTCTCTGTATTCCTCCATCATTTTCTGTTTTCCTATTCTCATTCTCTTTGCCTTACCTCACTACTTTACAACATTGCTTTTACAAATAAATAAATCCTTATCCTATAGGCTACCTCTTCTTTTTCAGTCCGCACACTACTTGTAAATAAGGAATGTTTCCATGTTTCTTCAGGTAAAGGAGTAAAAAAACAACAACCCCATTTTCATTCCAACGAGATTTTAAACGTATCTTATCTACCTGCAACTCTCGCAGCCCCCACCTTCCCATGAATACACATCAGTTTTATTTGTATTGACTAATTTTCTCTCATAATTTGGATACTACAATTATTTCTCCGTAAATGAATCTTTACATGTTATATAAATGAAAATATACATTATAAGATTTTTTTTACATCTTTTACCGTAATTTCTTTTCAAATCTGTGATTGCTCATGTGGATGCAATTTAGGTTACTTTCTTACAAGTGGCTTTAAGTTATGTGCGATGACAAAAGAAACATCATTTTTGTAAATTGCTGCTCCTTATTCTAATTTCATGTAGTATCCAGTATCTACGAATGGGAACAGCTAATAGTGCTTATCATCAGAAACTCCTAAACTTATTGTATGTCGTTTTGTTTAGATTCTCTACGTGAGTATACTCTTCCGAATGGAAAGTTATATAATAATGTTAATACCTAAACTAAAAATTACTGCATGTTAGTTCCTAATCTGTTGGGCAAGAATTCATAAGATTTTCGCTTAATGTCTTGCTTTAAATGTTTCTATATTTCTATCGAATGATGCTTGATAAAAGGATGCTTGATTCCGAGATGTACACACGTAGGGCGATGATTAGTAAGCTAGTTTCTCAAGGCATTTTAGTGAGTTTGATTCTTTATGGCTGTACAACTATTGTGGCTTTCTATACAAAGGTTAAACAGAGAAAATATCTCGGTATGTTTCCTTCTAAGGAATTAACCCTATTTCATCTTTGTAATTTGGTGTAAATAGAATTACCTAAAGATTTTATAACGGCACTGAACAGTGTTTAATAAAGTTTCAAGACTCTAAGTTTTCGAGCTATTTATTAAATTTAGTTGAACTAAGACACACAAATTGTAATCGAAGTCAATACAATAAGAATGTGCTAATTATAAATGCTTTAATTATTTCTTAAGATTAGCTTATTATGAGACAAGGCCAAGGTAATCGGCATCCACTGAAGATCGAACTTACAAAATGGTATTCTGCAAGACAGGATTGCAATCAGCAACAGACATCCAAAGATCATTTTTAAAATTAAGTTCTTGTGGCACAGCATCAAAGCAGAAAAATTTATTATCAGAAATGAATCCAACAAATAGGTTATTTCCTTTTTTTTTTGCCTGGTACAAGGCCATATTTGTCGGATACCAATCTGCTATTAAATTAATTACGCTAGAAAAATATAATCCAAGACTAGGTTATTAAGCAAAGCACTATGCTAAGCGGCTCAGAGTGTCAGTGTTCCAAACGAGAAAATAAAATCGGGTTTGGGCCAAACCGGAGACTAAAGTTCTTCTCAAGACTTCCATTTAGGAAAAATGCTTCTTTTTCTGCGTTTTATTTTTATCTCTAAGAATCTGAAAGTTTCAAACAATACGTCATTCTTTCAAAGCTGATGATACAAAAGAAGACACAAAGGTGAACAAGAACTCTATTTTCGTGAGTTTGTCTCGTCGCAAGCCTCAGGGAGGAAAAAGGGAAGATATTTATTAAATTTTCTTTCCGTTATGTTTTCAATCTCCTCGTCTCTATCATTGTTTAGCTTAATTTCCATGTCTCAGCCTATATATCTTCCTATTGTTATCAAATATATGTTTCTTTATTTTCATTTACATGTTTGCCTCTCCTAGTTTTGCTTTTGACTTTCTTTCTTTTTTTCTTTTTTTTTTGCTTTTAATATTTATTTATTTTATACTTTTTCTTTCTTTTTAAACCAGTTTTTCTCTTTCCGTTCACTTTTTGTTTAAATTTTTCCTTCTTTTATTTTTTCTTTCGTGCTGTCTTTATTTCTTTGTATTTTCCTATCCCATTTCTTTCTTTTTTTCATTGTATTATTCACTTTTTCTCTCTTTCTCAGTGCTCATAGCTTCTGTTCATGTTTTTTATTTGTCTATATTTTCATCTTTGCTTTCTTTCTTCTATATTATCTCTTTTTATTTTCTTTATTTCTCATATTTTTTCTTCTTTCTTCGTATCAACATCTTTCTAAGTTCTATATTTCTTCCGTTTCTGTATTCTTTTTCTTTCTTCAAATATCTTTACAACTTCTTTCTTTCTTTCTTTCTTTCTTTCTTTCTTTCTTTCTTTCTTTCTTTCTTTCTTATCTACCTACCAAGCCACTCACCAATTTCCTTATCCGTTTCCATAGAATGCACATCATCGACTGAATGAAATCTTTGTAAAGGAATAAATTCTTCCTAACGTCGCGTCCTACCTTTCCCAAAATCTGGTGCCTTCGTGTCTGGGTGATGAAAGTTCTACTTCTAAATCTGAACCTAGTTGCAAGAGACTCTTGATTCCCAACGTTCTCCACTGTCCAAGATCTCGTCTCCGCCCACAGAATAAGACCAAAACTTTCAAACAATGGCACCGTTTATACACTGCCAAACACTTTCACCTTTGTCTAATGAAGTTTTGGTATATATAACTATTTACACCATCTGAAGAGAAGATCACGAATTCCAGTGCATTGGACACATAAAGACAGTCGAGAAATAAAATTCCTGTTCTGCTTCTTTATATGACTAGTACTACTAGTACCACCACTACTACAAATATTCAAAGGAGTGTTGGACTGTTGAAAAAATATTGTCACTTGATCTTCACTGAAGGTCACCAAATATTACTGATATGAAAACTACTATTCCAGCATTTTTAGTACGTAGAACCATTACACTTTTCTACATAGAATAAGTGTGTAGTATCTGTGCCTAACCGCAAGCTTTCTGAGCTGAAAACAGTTACATTTTCTGACTGGTAAACCATCATAACAATATTAAAAAAGAGAATAAATGAAAGAGAAAATTATTTTCGTAGAGCAGAAGAAGTAATAAAAACGATAGAAACGCATAAATTGGTTTGCTGACTGAATATAAAATGACAATGAACCAAAAATTGAAAGTCAATAATGGAAAAGCGTAAAAATTGCGATACATAAACATCTTCATGGAGAGATAGTAAAAAGATAGATAAAAAGTGAAGTAGCTAATTTTTATGCATTACTTATGATAAAATTCTACTGGTGTAAATAATAATAATAATTTTGCACACATTCAGTATCTGGTTTGCCTAAAATGTTAGCACACTCTTCATTAGTCTTTCCAATTTGTTGTTTGAATACATTTAATTCTTACTCAGTCTTATTATTTTGTCATTGTTAAGTTTTCACTTCGCCAGTTGAAATTTCTAGAGCATATAATGAGGGCTTGAAAAATTTGATCACAACATATCAATATTTAAATTATGCAACGATCAGTTTTCAATGTGCACCTGAAGATTGCATTGTTTGTATGTGTGGCAGTTTTCGTTCCTTTAGTCATCGAGCATTCTCCTCCGCATTATTTTTTTTATTCTTATTTGTATTTGTTAGGAATTTCTAAAAAGTTCTGCTATTTTTAAAAGCATTCCAATAAGGATGGGAGTTATCGCTGTAGATTGAGCAACAATAAGTTTTCTCAAATCTCTTGCGCCTTTTTCAGTATCTATTCAGACTACATTACTATCGTGGTCTGGGTAGTCTTGAATCTCAATTGAATTTTCAGTTTCGATTCTAGTGTTTTAGCATTGTTTAGGATGTTCCACCTATTATAGACAAGTCTTATCTACAGGTAATAGTTTTCTCACTTCCAGAGCACGTTGCATATATCTTTATAGTACCTCGTTTTCTTTCTTTTACTCTGTACTCTATTATCATGTCACGTACGTCTTCTTCTTGGCCTTCTTTTTGCTATTGTTTGAAACTTCTTCACATATAATCTATCGATGTCATTTCTAGGGGGATAAACTTTCTGTAGATTTTAATATTCAGTTTTTTTTATTTTTTATTTTTTATTTATCTAATACACTTACGGAAAGATCCTGAATACACCACCACAGAAACTGTCTCGGTATTTCTTCCTTTGTTTAAGTTTCTGCTACTGAATTTATTCCTCAATATTTTACTTGTTATTTTGAGATTTTCATTTCAGACTTTCGCCTCTTTGATTGAATAAATAGTCATTTTCTTTTGCGTTAGCGCGTTTTAACAATTTTCTGGTTGGGTCATCCAATTCGTTCTTATTTTTCTCTTTCTCCTTTCAACCATTTCCAGACTTCATTATAATTTCTAGAATGAAGATCCTAATCATTTTTATTATGATTATCAGTTACATTTTTTTTAGCAATTTTTTAACCTATTCATATGCAAGTAGGTTGACTTCTTCTGACGTTGCAAATCTATATGCTCCATCTCAATTTAGCAAAATGTAACTCAGCGGTTTCATTACCATAATGAATAGTAGTAAAGATAAGTTCCTCTGGGTGATACATCTTATATTGGGGCTATATATTGTCTTTCTTTTCTCACTTCGTTTTACTTATCAATTTCTGTCGCATTTGTTATGAATTTTACCAACGTTTTGAAATTTTTCTTTGGGACCTTGGTTTTTTTTATATTCTGTCTATGAGAACTCTATGACAGTTTTTCTTTCTATTTTACTTAATGAATAAATGTTGTGTGTTCCTCTAGTTCCTTTCCAGTATCCTTTCTATTTCTCAGTTTATAGCTCTTGTCATTCTCGCAAATAGTAAATGTCTTTAATCTACAATTCCCTTAGAATTTTCGACATAATAGCTAGATATTTTATGGGCCATCAGTTACTTGATGTCTTCCTTGGATCTTTGACTTTGTGAGACATTCAGGGATACTTACTTGTGTCGAGTAGTTGCGTAATTGCATCTATATTATCTTCCTTAAATCCCAATAATATAGCCATTTGGTGTCATCAGTTTGAATAAAGGATAGACAAAACTATGTGTTAGGAGAATGTCTTGGAATCTCTAAAGATAAGACGGTTGTCGTAAATCACATTAATTACTCTAGCTTATCACTTCCTGGCGTGAGACTTGAAGAGAGTCTGTATGGCTTTGTGCTTGTTTGTTTTGCTTATATCTGTATTAGACGCGTTTGGTATTGTAGGATTTTAATTCAGGGACTTTTTATTATTTTTGTATATGCATATATACGTACATACATATAAATACATTCATACATGCACAAAAATATATACATACATGCACACAAAACATACATACATATATACATTCTTACATGCGTGTGCTTGCATATACATCCATCCAGGCATATACATGTATTAGAGCCCTTTTATATTTTTCATACTTGTACATATATGTATACATATACATGCCCTTCGATATATATCTGTGCATACATAACACACACACACACACACACACACATATGTGTGTGTCTGTGTGTATACATATATTCATACTATGCCACCATATATGTATATGTGCGCCCTCATATACATTCGCGCTCACAGACACACGCACACATACTCACATAACTATATATATATATATATATATATATATATGTGTGTGTGTGTGTGTGTGTGTATTTAAATAAGATTTTATGGTACAGAATTTAACTATAGATAGGAAAAAGCAAATGGTATTTTTAAAAAAGCTAAAAAAGAACAACCATTTTCGTCCCAGGACTTATCTAGTTTATTTTCTGGGATATAAAAAATATATAATATATAAGCGTGTAAATTAAATTAATATAACAAATGGAAGGGGAAAAAAATGAATTTTAAGAATAGAGTCCAATCAAATTTAAACCAGTAAGCATTCCCTCTGTTTACAAAGGGAAGGCCCATGGAATCTGATATACAAGGACTCTAGAACCTTGAGATGGTATGTGGAGTGGGACCTAGATAAATAGAAAAACGGTCCGCACTAAAATCAAGCACACAATTCCTGCTATTTATTACATGCTCAGCAATTGCAGAACCAGAAGTATTGGTTAGTTGGTTTTCCTGGCATCCGGATTCAAAATCCTGGGGGACAAGTGTTGTTTTATTCTCAAATCAAAACGTTAGGACGTCCTCACTATGTAGTTGAGTCCACAGCTACACTTATATTCATAAATCACTGAATTAACATGATGTATATATTGATATATCACTGAATTAACATGATATATATATATATATATCAAGAGCTTTTTTTGTTTTTCTCTTTTCCCATTATTTCTCCATTTGCTTGTCTGTAAAATTTGTTATTATTATTATTTATTATGCTAAAATTCGTATGATACATTCTGCCTTAAACCTGAACTAAAAACACAAGTGAGAAATATGCAAATATCCGGCTCATTTATGAACCCTCTCTTTATGAACCCTCACATTAACTACCAATCTAGTGTGTGCTTTATATTTTTAAAACGCTTATGTATACATATTTTTATTTTCAGGTGATTGTTACGTTGGAAATGGTCGTTGGTATAACGGAACTGTGGATGTTACCGAATCGAACATTTCATGTCAACCATGGTCAGCTAACTACCCTCAGTCACACAGAAGACAACCTGATATTTTTCTGGAACTGAACAACTCTGAGAACTACTGTCGTAATCCAGGAGGAGATACTCACAAACCTTGGTGTTATGTCAACGTTACATTCCGACGCTGGGAACACTGTGATATTCCAAAATGCAGTAAGTATTAGGAAAGTTATATCGTACCAGTCATGTAAGAATCCTGATATTTATTTTCTCAATATCTTTCTCTTTCAACATGTTTTTGCTTTGATAATATACATACTAGGCGAACTCTTGGAAATTCCATGAATTTTAACAACTAAGATTATCTATTGTTTTAAGCCTTTGCACTTTTCTCACTCTCTTCCAGTATCTTCTTATTCTTCTCACTTATTCCCTTTTAATCTTCATTGATAGTCTTTAACTAAATCTGATACAAACATAGAACAGTTTCATATGTGAAAAAGAATAAAGACTGTATTAATATTTGTTGCATCTTCTATTTCATCCATTTATCAATTCTATCTTAGATATTCACTACTAACCAGTGTACAAAACTGTTGGGGACCGTCTGTTTCAAGTGCCTCCCAGGATTAGACCTGATAGATAATTTGATACCTGACACTTTTTTCATGTTTTCGACAATTAGATCTTTTTTCGAACCTAAGTTGGGTGATCCTTTTGAATGTAACACTTTGTTGGTTCATAATTTTTTAAAAGTAAGCTGCTGGTTTGCGAATACATCCTTCGTTTGCAAAGTCAAGTCTAAGTTATTTGCAAAATTTCCTGTGTTTCATTGAAGTTTATTTTTGGAACCCTTATGACTTAATATGCCCCATTCATTGGCAATATTTACTCTTTTGATTTGTTACATCTGCTGGGATTCTATTTCATTAGGTATTTTTTGCAAACGTCAACATGTGCTTTTGTCTGTAAATACTTTTGTTTTGGAAATTTCCATGGATTCTTTTTCATCATTTATTCAGTCTTATTTCTACTGAAACAATCATTTTTTTTTATGATTCTGCCTTGTACAATCGTCACAGTAGCAAAATAAGTATTTCCCTCTCTTTGCTTTATCACATATTTTTAACCTAAGCTAACTGAACTGAATATTTTAATGGTATTGATAATTGATATCATACTCCCTTACTCGTGCACACACACGCATACATACACACACACAAACACACACACACACACACACACACACACACACACACACATATATATATATATATATATATATATATATATATATATATATATATATATATATATATACTCACTGCTCTAGTCTCTTCTCTGAGTTTCAAGGAATTACATCCACTCTTAATTCACAAAGGTTTCTTGTTTTAAAAAACGCTATCTTCCAAGCATGCCATTGTCGTTTCTTTTTTTTGTGCAGTACACATATAATATAAATATTATAGACCTGTCTTGTTTGTAAAGCGTAATGCTCATACATCAACAAAAGTACAACTCGTACTATCGGTGATAAAATTGGTAAAACTCTATTTTTGTTATAACTATTATTTTATTATTTACTGTATTTTGATGGCCAATATGAAAATGATACTGCTGGGACTACTGTTTACTACAATTCATCCAAACCATGGTCGACTTACTCATCATAATATCTCATTGGTTTAATACGATAATTCTTTTCAAATGTGCATCTTATATGCTGATAAATGAATAAAAGTAAAAAAAAAAAATGTGCAGTACCGCAATAAAAGCGATAATGATGCTATTTCCCACTATCATAATCTCTACCATTATTATTATTATTATTATTATTATTATTATTATTATTATTATTATTATTTCCTTTGATTTCTGGTGTGTACACATTTCTTTCTGGGTCCCGCTCAGAGACCTAAGGTTAGAAATGGCATCATGACATTTTCGACTGATCACTTAAAAACAAATCAAAACACAAACACACATATTTTACTTAGATAAAGCCCTTTGTAAGGTGTGGACTGTATTCATCAGAACAATTTTTTGTATTTCTTTAAGGTATGGTTTTCCAGGAATCCCTTCAATGAGTTTGCTGGAATCTTTTCCAACCACTCCGAAGGCTCCAACTACAACAGGGATTGTTGATGTTTCCATGTGTCACATTACTATTATTATTATTATTATTATTATTATTATTATTATCAGCAATATAATTATCATTATTATTTTTCTTTTACAGACACCACGGAAATAACACCTCAGCATAAGAGTAACCCTCTTTCGCTCATGACTATATTTATCATAACAGCTGTGGTATCCGCTGGAGTTATGGTTCTGGCAGTCATATTTTTCCTCTGCTACCAAGTATTCCTTAATAATCAAGGAGCCAAATACAAGTCAACCCCGCAAGACGATCTTGACATCGACCTCGACAAACTGCCACAGAATATGTCCTATCATCGTATGAAAGGAAGCACGAAAAATCCCAAGATTGAATCCTTAGAATATCCCCGCAACGATATCGTTTACATCCGTGATATTGGCCAGGGCGCATTTGGAAGAGTCTTTAAAGCAAAAGCAGCAAATATTGTTAAGGGTGAAGATTTTACTCTGGTCGCTGTAAAAATGCTGAAGGATGATGCATCAGAAGATCTAATGCAAGATTTTGAACGAGAAGCCAGTCTGATGGCTGATTTTAATCATCCAAATGTTGTTAAATTACTCGGTGTGTGCGCCATCGGTAAACCTATGTGCCTCCTATTCGAGTACATGACCAAAGGAGACCTTAATGAATTTCTGCGACTCAGCAGTCCCGAGCAGTTAATCATTTTTCGCCGCCCATCAGAAATTGGAAATATCGACCTACCGAATCTTGATTACAGCGATTTGCTATATCTGACAAAACAAATAGCAAACGGAATGGTCTACGTGTCAGGCAAAGGTTACGTCCACAGGGATTTGGCAACGAGAAATTGTCTCGTGGGAGACAGTTTGACAGTCAAAATATCCGACTTTGGACTGGCAAGAAATGTTCACAGCGTTGATTATTACAAAGGCAGCGAACATGACGCCATTCCAATTAGATGGATGCCATTGGAAACTATATTGAACAATAAGTTCACCATCGAGTCCGATGTTTGGTCGTTCGGGGTTGTCATGTGGGAGATTTTTTCTTTTGCTCTACAGCCTTATTATGGAATGGCACACGAAGAGGTAGTCAGGTATGTTAAGGAGGGCAAAGTGTTACCCTGTCCTGAGAATTGCCCACCTGAAATCTATGATTTGATGCGACTTTGTTGGAGCCGGAAACCGTCTAACCGTCCTCCATTCCAAACTTTACATAAATCTTTGAGCATGCTTCATAGTCAATATGTAGCTGCCAAAGGACTCAAAGAAGCTCTTTAAGATATCTAAAGTGAAAAACAACACATTTTTGACTTTAGCCACTTGTTCCTTTGCAATAAGTGCTCAGAACAGAAACGAAAATAATAATAACAACAAAGATAATCGACAAAAATGTCATGCAGAGAATAATTATTAAGAATAATTAATGCTGCTGCTTTTCATCAAAAGAAAAAAAAAGCTTCTGTTATTTTCTTCATTTTTTTCATTCATTTTTTTCAACAGTTGACCAATCGATGTGAAAGAACAGAAGACATTTTTGTTGTACAGTAAACTCAGAGTAGATTTCCGGTTATATTTTAAATTTCATATATATATATAACGAAAAGGAAGCACAAATATACCAAAAAAGAGAATACAAAAAATAAACTCGAAACTTTTTCAGTAACACAGTATTTGTTTAGCGATTCTTTTATGATTCAATGAATCATAATTAAAAAAGAGTTGAATGAAAATATATAAAGCATTTAATTAAAGAAACGAAAGTAACAAAAAAGTGGGCAGTTCTATCACTGAACAAATACTGACACATAAAATCTGCATTTTATTATTGGATTCTCTTTATTTGCTTTTAACCGACGAATATCCATCAACTCCTGTACAATTGTATCTTCATCTTCAATGCATTTACATACATATCTCACTTGATGCATACTACTAATACGCTTATATATGTGTGCACAAAGATACAAGCGAGATTTTTTCCGACTCATAACCAGTCAAAACGAACAAAACCAAAGTAAATTTTTTACCAGAAGGTCACTGATTTCTATAATTTTTTTTTCAAGGAGTGGTGTTCCTTCCCTTATGTTTTTTTTCTTTTTTAAGTTTCATTGGATTTCAATTGTCCCGCGGAAATTTGTTCGTGACATTTTGAAAAAAATAAAATATAAAAAAAAAGCAAATAAAGAGACGTAGAAAGACTTTTAAAAATAATCTGGATGGAAAATATGGATTGTAAGAAAAAATCTGTCAAAATAGGAAAAAAATAAATTTCGTTAATTTGACAGAAAAATAGCTGATAACACACACACACACACACACACACATACATATATATATATATATAAAGCAAAATCTTTATATGCTTTTAAATTTGACTCCTAAATTTTCTTGGATTTTTAAGTCAAAACAAGTCAAGGAAAAAAATTACATTCCCGCCTTGCGATGGCTCAAGAAACAAATCCGCTGTAAATAAAAGAAACAAAAAATAAGAATGACAACAAAGAAAAAAGACAAATAAAAGGTTCCACTAAAGGAATCTTTTATTTTTGGAACTCACAAAATAGCAAAATTCTCAAGACAAATTTTAGCTGTAAAATAACATATTCTCTACAAAGAGACCGATGTACATTGTTGAAACAAAATTTTAAATCCCTGAATAATCGTTTTTGTGGTACTTGAAACCGTTGTGCTTATTTTGCAAATGATTCCAAAAAGCTTCCAAACAAATGTGCTTCTTTCAAATTTTCTAAATTACTTATATATATATATATATATATATATATATATATATATATATATATATATATATATATATATATATATATATATTTGCAGACGCATACACACATTACAGTTTTCATGGTTTGCATTATATCATAAGAAGAATATTGTCTTCCATCCTTACATCTACAATTCAAAATTTGTACAGAATTTAAAAGTAGAAGCCCTGCAGTAGGCTTGTGGTATACCAGTTTCATATGACATTGATAATATTTTAAATTCTCACCGGATGCCCCACGAATCTGACTTCATGTCGAATTTGTTTGCGCCCAAAAATATCTCTAGAATTTGGCAATATAGATATTTACTAAGATTATTACATTTTTGTCAGAGAACACGCACACGCACGCCTGCGCACACATTTATTATAAAATGGTTATACTGCTTACTATGAACAGTTTGCAATGCGAAACAGATCTGATAAATATTGTTCAATTTGTAGGTGCTGTTAAAATAATTAAATTACATACACAATGTTGCCGAAATTGTCAAACTTGATAAAATATGTTAAAGAATAAATCATTTCGCTAAAACATTAATTTAAACCGCACCCTAACCCACAAATACTGCACCTGTTGGTTATCGAAATCAAGTAGTTGCAATATCAAAATAAGTCTCTTTAACGAATATTTGTAAAGCTTTAAAAATAGGAGCGAAATAATGAATAACATCTTAGAGATCCTGGATTGAAAACTGGTTTTAATATCAACCCCACAAGCTATAAACTAAGTGCAACTGTTTTCCTTCACCTTTTGCTCCATTAATATAGCCTTGTGTTAAATTTGCTTTAATCTTAAAAAATGAAGGTTACTGCATATTATGTAATCTCTAGGGATGGTTTTGTTTCCCCGAGCAACAATCTGGAATAAGATTCCGTTCCATAATCATAACACTATCAAAAAACAGTTTCAAGCAATAATAATGAAAACGTAGGAAAGCTATTCAAATTTAATTTTTATCTTTAATAAGATAAAAAATATTTTATATGACCTTAAAACAGAAAAAAAAGAGAAATAAAATAATTTGCCCTTTAAAAGATAGATTTAAATAAAGTTGTTACTGGCAAGATTTTAAATTTGATTATTATCGAATGTTTACTTATTTTTGATATTGCAATGAAAATATTTTCCTTGTTTTTAGACGTTATAAAACATGTAAATCAATAAATAAAACCACGTTTTTCTAGTCACGGAAATATAAGTTACTACTTCTTATGTGAAGGGGAAGAGAGAAGATTTTTGATGAAGTCTTCATAGAAATGAATTTTCTTTACTCTATGTTCTTTATAAGAATAAAATGAATCTGACGATAAATTTTCGATATATTCGGTAAAATAATGTCTCAGACATTATTTAATTCGTTAAACCTTGAGACCTAACCATTTGCCTATTATTAAAGACCGGGGCAGTTGTACCGATAGACCGGTGTTACGGGTTCAAGGAGTTAACTTGCTAAGATTAGTCGTGTTGAAAGCATTCTGGTGATTAAACTGTTGATCAGTAACTTTTCAAAAATGAATTCCATTTGAACGTTTGCATTATCTGCAGTATTTACCTGCAGTATTTACTTCTGATTATACATGTTAAAATGTTTTATCCTATTTTGAGGAGAAAACAAACTATAAATAAAAGCAATTTGAACAATTGTACGATATATTGGATGGAATAACAGCAAAAAAAAAAAAAGCATCGAAACGAAAATATCGCCCAGAAAAAATTACTTACAAAAAGAATTGATTTTCCCCCAACCCATTTAAAGAACTGGAACCTGGATTGGTCTGGTTTGACATTAAAGGATATTTGTGATATTCTATCATTATTTTCTTTCTTTTTTTTATGCTTGTACAACAATAACAATAATAAATTCATATGATTTACAAAGCCAAAGACAATTTTATTTACCACACATCTTTTTTTTCCTCCAGTCCAAACATTCATTCACGTACTCTCTTTTGTCTACTTTCTTCTTTTAGACATGACAGAATTTAATTTTTAAAGTTTTTGTATTTTGCCAGTGTTTAGCAAGCAATCAAATCTTAAGCATTTTCTTCTTTTTAATAAGCAATGATTTTTTTTTAACTTAGGATATACTCATTTCCAAGTGCTTTCCAATTTATAGCAAGTGTTTTCATTATACATTGATTCATTCGGATCAACCGCTTCGTCTTTGTTCTTTCAGTTATAAGGTTTCGTCTGCAGTATTCTATCTTTTTTGGGTGTCAGTCGTATTTAATAACCCTCTGAAGAATGTCGAACGGAACCGTTTATTTGATCCACCAGAATATGTTACTCACATACTTAAACTTATCCTCCACAGTGTCAGATGTTTTATGCAAGTCAATGATTTCACAATAGAATTAATCAACCAATCCTGGTCAAATTTTCAAGATATACATTTTACGCATAATATATCCTGTGAGTTGCAGTTTATAATATTTAAAACTTACTCCTAATATTGATTATAATATTTAAACTTACTCCTAATATTGATTATAACTTTGGGGCTGTCAGATAATGCGAAAAATCTTAGTGCTCCATGCATCGAATATTGCTGTCACATCTGATAGGTGGTTCTGTTTTATATCTAGAGATTCTTGACAACAGAGTTGGCAATGTTATCAGTCCTGACCTGACATCACGGTTTCAGTCATCTTCCCACCATCGTAAGCAACTTCCTTTTGCATCTTCTATAAATATTTTTCACGGTTATCGTTTTGAGGATTTTACCTCTTTGGTACTTCGACTTCACGAATTTAGGCGCAGTACTAGATTG